GACCGAAATTTGTTGTTTGCCGCAAACTTTTTCTTGCCTCCATTTCTTTTTAATGCCCTTCAGTTGTTGTGTCTGGAAGTGCAGCTCCTAGTGCAAAAGTCTAGTTTAAAAAATCTGGTTTGGATCAAAAATTTATAATTTGATTCTGTGTCAGCAAAGTGGTAATATCTGCGCTCAAAATGGAAACTATTGCGAACCGAACTGAAGGGTTTTCATTACTGCTGTATATTTCTGTCGAATGGTTGCGGCCTTCTCACAGGATATGTGCCAGGCCCTTCGGTTACACTATATCGCATTGAAGTTATGTCTGCGTTATGTTTGAAGACTGCAAGTTTTTACTACTTTTCTAAATGTATATAGTAGTTTCAGAATATTTACATAATTATAATAGGTCATTTTAAGGAATTATGAATTTGGGCAGCAGACTCATTTCGAGTTTGTTTTCCCTGTAACGGCTCTTAGGTGCCATCCCAAACGAAATGTAGTGAATGGGGTTTGTATTTTCTGATTCTGATTCAGGAATAGTTTAAAGGATGACGTGTTATGTTTGACAGGCAAATTTTGAAAAGGGGACGCTTTTAGAAAGCATGATCAGAAGTATGGGCCATGTATCGACCTAGAAAACTCAAACATCTTTAGTCTGTTGAAAAAAATTGAACATTCGAAGGTCATGGTGCTTCCCGGTAACCGGCCTACCAGTTCTTATTCACTCCATCAACTGTAAACAATATATATTAAACTTTGACGAATTGGTGATAGGTGTAGAAGTTTATTAAAATCACTGAAGTGATCAGACAACATCTTAGCGATAATTATTTAAAACAAACCTGAACGTTTGGATTCATCTACAAAAAGTTTTGTACGATTTTTGTCGCTCTAGTATGCAACGACTTTTGGCATAACATGGATTTAAGAACCAGATCTTGCGGAATAGATACAAAATCCAAAGAAATTGATGGCATTGTCACTGTTGAAGTGATATCATTAAGAAAGTTAGGTAAATTTGGCAATGTCACAGTTTTCCTTATTATTGAAGTTTGTTCTTTTACAGCAGTTTGATAGTAGAGATCATGTAGTTTCCTAAAACATCATATATAATCGTGTTATTTTTAAATTTTTATTAAATTATCGCATAACAGTTGTGATTATCAAGCAATATGTATTTCACATAATTGTGTTAAACATGCTGAAAGTTTCCGGACTTGATATTTGATTTGATATTTACAGACTTTTGTAGGCACATCGCTGAATTTAGTTTATAAAGTTTACTGTTACTTTCAAACGTTTGCTCTGTCTTCATGATCACAGTTGCCGTTGTTTATATTTTTTGGGTAGAAAAATAAATCCTTAAAATTCTTGTCTAATCTTAAGTTATAATCTCATATAACTTTGTGGAAATTATTGTGTATTTTTAATTTAACGGTATGTCATAGTCTGCTTGTGTAAACGAATTTCTCTTTTTGCATGTTTTATTTCTGTATTTGATGTAATCTCAAATCAGGTGGTTTCTGTATATGTTATTGTTGAATTAAGTCCCCTTATGTTTTCAAATTGTTCGGTATTTTTTAATTGTTAATGTTTGTTTTGCCGTACTATCGCCAGTGCGTTCACGCGTGTCGGCGTATGACATCAAAACAACGAGATTCGTGTCATTGCCATGGCAACGGCTAGATCACATACAAGTCGGGGCGAACGCGCGTTTCACGTCGGATTTGGAAAGATCGATACCAGCGGTTAGTACTGTGAGCAATTGTTCAAAATTTGCAGCTAGTTTTCTATCCTTGTTATTCCCACTATATGCACCGGAATTAGTTTCGCACACGGCGGACGGCATGATGCTTTGCCAAGATTCGATTTGAATTCAACAACGCCTTCGGTTCGTTCGAGATGTTCCCTACGCGAGTCGTCCGGTTTGTTTATGTCTTGAGCGTATTCCCTTAAACACTGCCATACCTAGGATCATTGCATTTGCGTGCCATTTAACCCGTCCTTTAAGCTGAACACATTTACATAAAATTCGTATGCGTTGATATCGCGATCAGTAGTGGTGTATCGTTCAGGGATTAACTGTTATTGTCAGTGAGAGAAATTTAGTGATTGTTCCAGTTGTTA